AAAGATTCCATTTATGAAAGTGATACAACATTTAAATGAATTCAGTAGTGAATGAGTACGTGTGAACTTGATGTTTATATTTAGGAACAGAAGCAGGCCAGAAAGTGTTCTGTAGAAAAGGTTCTCCCCTCCTCTTTTTTTCCTTTAGAATTGTCCTTAGGAAAATCTTAAAAAAATTTAGACATTAACGTTCGTTACGTTACGTTATATTACTTTATAATGCACTTATCACACAATGACTCTTACAAGAATTGCCACTGCGCGAAATTGAATGTCTTTATCTTCCACGTGACCAGCGCATCACCAGCTTTTATAGTGCAGTCATTTGGCAAAAGGTAAGATATTTATTTACCGTTCGAATTTAATCCATTTGTAACTGCTTACAAAATTGAATAGTTTAAAGCTAATATAAGCACTTTTTAATCCAAAGCTTCATTTTTAACCACGTTAAAAATAATACAAATTAAATACATGCAGTATTATTGTATTTAACAAAAGTGTTTGTAACGACGTATATTAATTACACATAAAAAAAATCCTTCAAGTTTTGGTATTATTCTCTTCCGAGATGATATTTTTCCATAAAGGTCACACATAACCGAACTCAGTTGTTGTATCCCAGTCGCCCCAATATTTTATTCCTTTCAAGTATTAAATTTTAGAAGAGTGATTTTTTTAAAAAATCTGTTGTGTTTTGTTTTCCTTTGATTTTGATTTTTATCAACATTTTAAAACTTATACTCAGCTTGCAAACTTTAACGCACGTTTTTCATTGCTACCATTAAAAGTGCTACACCAAGAAGGAAAGAAAACAGCATTATCTTATTTATTGTGCAATATACAGTATAATAATAGGAGAAAGATTAAATTTACAGTTTGTGCGGAATGCGCAGAAAGTAGAATTCAGTACAGAGAGCTGACACCTCTGGTAGCACAACGGCTGTAATCCGGCCAGTCGAGCTGAGCCTTGGATGACAGAAACAGTAGCTCATTTTATGCGGCTTCAAATTTGTGCCAGAGTTTATCAGTCTTAGTGGCTGCGCGTCTGTCAGCAACCCATGACTAGATGTCCTCAATGGGTAAAATATCTGAAAAACGTGCTGGTTAAGACAATCGTCGAACACCTGCTGTGTCGAGGAAGGTCAAGACAGTACGGGCAACATGCGGGTGTGCATATCTTGGTGAAAGATGGTGTCACGCAGTTTTCGAAGATAGCACGCAGCCACGGATCTTAACGGGTAGGAAATGTAACGTAGTTTATCCACATTATTGGCTATGCGAACAAGAAATGACCGGCATGTGTACCAAATGACACTCCATACCAGCACGCCAGATGCTGGGCCCGTATGACGATGGTGAATGCAAGCAGGCAACGTTCATTCTCCTTGGCCCCTCCACAGACGGGTACGTCCATCATGATACTGCACGCAGACCATGTTTGATCTGAAAAGACGGCGTGGTTCCACTCCTGTGGCCAGTGTCGTCGTTCGCCGCAGAGTTGTAGGCGCGCCTGTCTCTCCTGCAGCGTCACGGAAAGATGCAACAATGGTCATCGTGCTGACAGTCCGTGGTGCTGCAGTTATCTTTACACTGTCTTTGAAGACATTTGTCGTTCTGCACGCGAACCAAGTTCCTGACTCCGGATACGTGACGAAGGTTTACTAGCCAGGAAAGCTGAGAGGACATCTATGTCAGGCGTTAGTCACCTGAGACTCCTGAAATCCCGCCTGGCGTTCAATATAGCCCTCTTGGACACATCAATTTCATATTCTTCTGACAGTCATAGGATTCCGAAGAACACGAGCAACAATACCGCGGAATGATAAACTGCAGTCAAGATCTACCGCTGACGCATTCCGGCGAGTAGGAATTCCGCGGTAGGAATTTCTTCTTCTTACAGAACGCATAACACAACCTTTACACAAACAACCAACGTTTAAATGTGATTTCCAAATGAAAATCCCACTCTGCAGTGTCTCCCCATTTTTATGCCTACTTTTGCTCATGCGCTGGAATGTTTGTAATCAGCACATTCCAGCATGCAGCCTCTTTCATTCAAATCGTTTTTTAATCCAATGACGGGCACTTGCCTATTTAGCATTGGCCAATCCTAAGGTCAGAAGTGGTGGCCATTTATTGTGGATGAACCGTTGCCTCCTATGAAAGGACAAAGAAGTTACAACCATGCCTTCTCCGAGATTCGAATCAGGCTTTTTGGTACCGAAGTAGGCTCTTCTAACCGCTATATCGTCTGTGCGGCCTTTCATTCAAATCTGACATTTGTTAGACGCCGCCTTCATAGTGCAGCATAAATGTAAATTACACAAAGAATAAAAATAAAATAAAACAAAACAATAAAATAACTGAATATTTTGTACTATTCTTGAATAGTTCAATACACTTTTCGATAAGGCAACTCAAAGATCTGAACTCAAAAACAATAAATTAATTTTGGTACTGATTTCTGTTGATATTGAACAAATAGGTATATCCAAATTAATAATAATAATAATTAAAATCTGAAAGAGTTCAGTTTTAATGACCAGCAGCATAGTATTCCGAACTTTCATGAACGCTGCTTATTCGGCAGTTCTGGTGGCCATACGTACTCACACAACACTTGGTTTTTCTAGTGAAATAAAAGCAAGATATTTTGTTATGTGTCCTTTGCCCCTTTAGTAAACTAGGGACGCATCTACAGTCCTTCAAATTATGTATTTATTCACTTTTGGCTTTTCTGCTCAGAGCTGGAATTTTATAATTCTCTCATACTCCTGTTTCGCATTATGTCAGTCATTGTTGCATGCAGCATCTGAAAATTTCCAGAAATCTTACGAATGGAATGACTAAATTGGTAAGCACCGATAATCCCGCCCCTTTTAACCAGGGCTGGCTCCAGCAATTCCAGCGCCTGGGTGACCAGTAAATTTGGCACCTCTAAAAATTAAAAATATTGATAATTAAAAACGAAATATACTAAATATCATGTTGGTTATACAGGTTAATCGTTGAGAACAACTACTTATATAACCAACTAACAACTGCCCTCCAAAAATCAGAATACTCGTATGTCGCATTGTAGCTCTACGTCACCTATGTTAGGCGTCGGTCCTGCTCTCAGCCTCATACAGTTCGATAGCTGTAGCCAACTGAGAAGGATTCTGTTCTTTTCAGTGTAATAGTGAAGTCATCTGAGAATAAAGAGATTGTTTGCGACATAAAGATTTTACTGTATGAGGGCTCACTGGCTTTTTCCCAACATGGGTTAACAATGTAGGGCAATTCTACTTTCCTTTCAGTGGGTATTAGGTCATTAATGGCAATATAATCTAAGGTCTACGATATCACTGTTTGCAAAGAATTCAAGCTTTGCAAAATGACGCTATGGCCAAAGTATAAAAAATACTAAAGGAAGCGTTCTTTCTATGCTTACCGGAATGTCAGGAGCACTGAAGAATGTGCGTGCGGTTCCAAAGGATTTTATTTCAAAGATAACTGATAACAATAATTTTCTAAATTCAAACAAGGACTTACAAGCATATTCGAAGAAAATTTTTAATACAAGAATATTTCAAAGTAGGTCTTCTGATTTTTGAATAGTTTATTAGTTATATTTCTTAATATTTTTTTTTTTTTTCCTTGAAAAAAGAACCCAATTAATATAAGATAGCTAGCTTTTTTCTTTCCCCAAAAACTTTTTCCTTGCATATTTTTAACCAAATAAAAACTATTAACACTTATAAGTTAATAAAATATTCTTAATTTTTATATACAAATCATGTGTTTAAAAATGAACTACGTCACCTATGTTAGGCGTCACCTATGTCACAGCTTAACAGAAAATTACAGTACAATTTCGATATTTGTTGCACAAATTATACAATAAATGTAAATTACACAAAGAATAAAAATAAAATAAAACAAAACAATAAAATAACTGAATATTTTGTACTATTCTTGAATAGTTCAATACACTTTTCGATAAGGCAACTCAAAGATCTGAACTCAAAAAACAATAAATTAATTTTGGTACTGATTTCTGTTGATATTGAACAAATAGGTATATCCAAATTTAATAATAATAATAATTAAAATCTGAAAGAGTTCAGATTTGAACGATCACTCAAAAGGGTTTTTTGAAAGTTTAATGTAGTTTATCAGTAGACATTATCGATAGGGATGGCCCAGGTGGAATAGCGAAGCATTTTATAGGATATATATTTAGACTAACACAGGAACGTTCTGACATGTCTTCTGTATGTTTAAAAAATGGAAAAATATGAAGTGCAATTCTATAAAAATATTTAGTGTTTTTTAATTAGATATGTCATGAATTAAATGTATTTTTATTTATTTAAATCAATCAGATTAAAAAGTTTAAAAAATATTTTTAAGAATTGCGTCTGTTGCTTTTAAATAGTTTAGTTTGCTAATTAATAACAGACAGATTAAATACGAAAGAATAATATCTTATATTTTTCTGAGCAGCAAGAGACTCCAATGAAAAGTGAAACAACGCATTAAAGCGAAACAACGCAAAATCGTATTTCGAGATTAATAGCCCCTTATGGGCTAACAATAATAATTCGAAGATTTCCCCAATAGAAATAATTCCTTTTTAATTTTGAGATACAATTTTATCATTCTCCATACTTATAAATTGGTTTGTGCATCACAGTAGAATAGAAAAACCTCTTTTAGCGGCATTTAATTTGAGAGACTGTACAGATGCAAACATTATGCATTTTAAAACATTTTAAAAATACAGTTTTAAAATCTTTAATTTTTTTTTAAATCTTGAAATGTCATTCAACTTGTAAAAAAATTAATTCAACAGCAGAAAATGATTAGTCTTAACTGCAGTTACAGTCAACTCCAATAACGAATTTTAAGCGACAGAAAGTTCAATTCGCTATATTCGATATGACTGGAAAAATGGATTTTCTCACAATGAACTGATTTATAATGATTGAATAACAAAAAAATGACCGAGGAATAAATAAATAAAAAAACCCAAGCTTTATTACAGTTACCATAGGAAGTAAATAATAACTCTAATTTTTTAAGAAAAAGGTCATATTAAGAGTTATTAAAATTATTAAATTTGTTTTTCGATCTTTTTCAGGTGGAAGTGCTTTGCATGATAAATTACTTCGTATAAAAGTTTTGGTTCACATCCATCTTTCCAAATTTTTCATCCATCTTTTCTCTAAAATAAAAATTTATAACTATGAAGAATAATTTTTGTAATATTGTAACGGATTTTGTATTTAGTTAGCTATTTTTACCAGAATTATAATTAAAACTGTTTTGGACTTATTTTAAGAGAAAGCTACGCCGGAAAAGTAAAAATACAGGTACACGCGCATTTAACATTTAATAAATAGATATCTCGTAATTCTACTCTTTTGCTTTCCAGAAACCTATTGTAGTAGAACTGAAATGAAGAAAGGTTATCTCATCTCGCCTTTTTGGAATGCCTGACAGAAACAAGAGAAATCCTGTCCGTGCAGTACTTCATCGACGGCATACGGGTCCCTGAAACACGGAGAACTCTAGGAATGGCGGATGTCAAGGACGTAAAAAAGTGCTCTGTCGTATGTCATGAAATTCCAGGCAGCCCAGCAAGCAACTCATATAAACTGGCAACCATTCAGAGATGTGCAAGTCTACGAGCCAGTAGATCAAATGATGGCTCGTGTAGATGATTTATCCAGACAAGTCAATCACACGGTGTCGGAGTGAGAACAAACTGCCTCTAAAGTGTTGGAAATGTGGTAATGAAGGCCACATACAACGGAATTGCAGAACATCCCAGGGCACGGAAAATAAAACAGATTATTTTACCAGACAAGACAAAACATTGATACGGGAACAGGAGTGAAAAGAAACCAATTCTAAAGTGCTGGAACTGCGGTGTTGAAGGCCATATACGAAGAAACTGCAGACCATTCCAGAGCACGGAAAATAAGACAGATAATTAATTGCCATGAGACGGAAAAGGAGTGACAAGACGCAAAAGTTCTGGATCTGCGGAGCTGAAGGCTACATACGAAGGAGCTGCAGAACATCCTAGGGAACGGAAAATAAGACCATTTCACAGCAACGACGCAGGAAACAAATTAATGACCATACTGCGGAGTGGAGTTTGAATCATAGTGAAACCCCATTTTAAGCCGCTCAAGATTTCTGCAGTGAATGGTAACAGTAATGGACTATCCATCAATGAGCATTTCGATGGGGTTCCTTACAATATGATCATTGACACAGGAGATAACGTTACCATTATTCGGAAAGATTTAGCTCAACAATTTAAAGATAAGCTGTTTTGGACGCCATCCTGTGTTACCCTTAAGACTGCGTCTGGTGATCAAATCGACATAGATGAGAAGTTAAATGTGAATATCACGTTTGGAAGTGCCTCCTACCATCACACAGCATATGTGGCAGAGATTGCAGATCCTTCCATACTCGGATTGGCCTTTTTAAGAAAATACAATTTTTCCTTGAACTTCAAAAACAACAAACTGCTTTCAGCATCAGAGGACATAACTATCCATCATCAGACGGGATCTTCACCTGGAAATGCCGACGCCTTGTTTGAAAGGCCGTGCTCAGAAAGCTGCCAAAATCGTACTAGGGTCGAAGAGAAATACGAGACTACCGGCTATTCTCCATCCCAGATGCTCACCGGTCGTGACCTTCGTCTGCCTTGTGATCTCTTCTTTGGTCGCCCTCCGGATGCGCCTTCATCGCCAAAGGAATACATCCAAGATCTCCAGGCTCGGTTTGAAATGATGTACAGTTTTGCACGAGAACAAGTCAACTTGGCGACGGAGAAGATGAAGATACGATACCGACACCAGAGCTACTGGACATTGATTCAACGAAGGAGACAAGATGTGGTTGTGGAATTCGACTCGACGGAAAGGACTTTGTCCGGAACTACAGTCACCTTGGGATGGTCGGTACACAGTCCTAAACAGGCTGAATGACGTCGTGGTTCGGATCCGTAAGTCATCAAACTCTAAGCCTAAAGTTGTTCATTATGACAGGTGAGCTCCTTACTATGGCCATAGTACGATGTGCATATAATTATAAATAGTATACGACCATGGTCCTTTTTGTTTCTAAATTTAGTATTTAATTTGGTTTAAGTTACTTATTGCAATTATTGTTTATGCTGTTCGTTGTTGTAATGTAATGGTTATTATTACATTGATGCCTTAGTTGTAAGTTTGGCTTCCTGCCTAGGAATTTTCTATTTATATAGCTATTTTTACTAGAATTATAATTTAAATTGTTTTATATCCACGTGCAATGCAGAACGAGGCTTATCTTAAGAGAAAGCTATGCAGGAAAAGTAAAAATACAGCAGCACGCGCATTTAACAATTAATAAATATATATTTCGTAATTCTACTCTTTTGCTTTCCAGAAACCTCGAGAAAACAGAAATTGACTGATTAAAAAGCCGGAGAGAAATATCTCAGTTCAATTGTTTACTTAGTTGTTGATTGTAGCGAATTCACGGTGAGATCGGATTAGCTTTCTCTGCGTTTTGGATTGCGTTCTATTTAACGTTTTAATAGTTTAAAATAGAGCTACTAGTTATATTGCATGATACTGTGATATTGTGCGATCATCTTTGAGGGAAAATACAGCGTTTTGTTATATTTCTTGTGATAAGAATACATTTTATTAACTTTTTATCGAATTTGTGTATTCCATCTATTACGAACCCGTACGCAATATATATGATCTAAGATACATTTATTGTAAATCCTGGCTGTCTAAGAACTAGGTAGGTCAATGAGAACTAGGTATTATACCTGCCTCGAACAGGCCTTTGTTTAGAATACAGAGAAAGATGGAGGTGAGCAAAAGAATAACAACATAAAGATGTTTTACGCTACTCTAATAGCCTAATACATGGAAGATTTTAAGATTTAGTAATTTTTCTGCAACAGAACAATATATAAAAAGCCAAAATTGATTATCACTTCACTTTCCTTCACTTCCAACAAAGCAGGAAAACTTTTTCCTGCTAAATTTCTCGCAACGGCAATTAGAGCCGGAGCGATTACTTGTTTCTACAAATGGAAAATTTTCGAAAAGTTTACAAAAAAAAGTTTCAATCAAAAATAACTATAAAGTTCTTTTTATCCAATTTTCATGCGCTTGAAGGTTCGCTACACCTGTATAAAATATTATCAACTGTATAGGAAACTGGACGGGCTAAAATGTTCGTCATGTCTCGGGCTTGTTATAAAAAAAGTTCGCTATTGCACAGCTTTACTATTTAGTCTCATGTAAATTTTTCAGGTCAATGAGAAAACTGGACGGACAATTTCTTATCACATATGAAGCACCTAAGACTTAAAATTCTAATTCATTTTCATCTTTCTCTGAATCCCACACTGAAGATTCTATACCAGCCACACTCGAAAAATCCACTTCAATATCATACTGGAAATCCGGATCACCAGGTTTCTTCCGATTTTTCTCAAATGACAGATCCATTATTTCCTTCTTCCTCTGCAATGTTGCATCATCTGCCATATTCAGATTTTCATCAGGATCAATGCTAAACTCTTTCTCAAGTTCTTGAAGGCTTTCCTCGAGATCTAAACCTCTCATATTGTTCTGTATCAATCTCAGCATCTTCTCAATTTTGAAATTAGGCACGCTTTTGAGATACTTTTCATGATGCTCTTTTAATTCTTTGGCAGCTGTAACGACTGAACTATTCTTCTTTAAACCACGAACGGGCATCATTCGTTTTCTAAATTTCGAGTTTTCTTCATACACAAGCACGATGATCGGTTGTTTGAAACGAACTCCGATTTTCAAAGGTCTGATAGCATCGTTGACAGCATTAACAGACATGTTCTATTTGCAGGGAAGTGCCTGGAGAAAAGGAAGATATAAAACATTATAAGAGAAGAATATTCATAGTTGTTAATATTTTAGGAAATATACAGATTACATAGCAAATGCATACAGGCACACTATGCACGAAAAAAAAAAAAAAAAAAAGGAACAATTCTATATGTTCTGGTCTACTGAGACGATTGACTAAATTTTAACTTACGTTGTTTTTCATGTCTCGAAAGGGCGACTTAGGATATTTATTTGATTTATACATAGCATTAATACAGGTATTTTGACATTTAATCGGACTTTGCCTGAAATGACGTACCGATTCCCCCCCCCCCATATTTCGATCCCACGACTCAAATCATGCCAAACAGCCAAGTTCTTCAAAAATAGCATGAGTAGTTTTTAAAAAAATTAGCTCTCAAAATTTTAGCTCCTCAATGTTAAACTAAATTTGGTATATATTTATTAACATCTCTTCTTTTTTATTAAACTTACTTGATTCTTTCTTTTACAGTTCGAAATTTAGGTTCAATCCAAATAAAATTCGCGTATATTTCTGATTTATTTTTAAAGTTTTCTCTAGTAATTTTTATAAATTTTTCAAAAAAATTTTGAATTATAATCTATAAATAGCTCTTAAATTCGGCGGAGGCCTGCTGAGTTATTTTTTAGATTTTCAGTGAAATTGTAATTGCAGCCGGAGCTCCAAATAAAACGAGCATATTTAACTATTTATAATTAATTTATAAATTTTTAATTTTATTGAATTTTAATTTTAATCATTAATTATTTTATTTATTTACATTATTTACAGATTTTCCTCTTTCTCTAATGGCCTTCCATATGACCCCGATAATTCTAATTTTAGAATTTAAGCACCGACCACAGATGAAAGAGCCGCACACATCGCACTATTGTGCGATATTCACAGCATACTGAGGTAACTGGAAAGCGTTCGATACTAGAAGTTATCCATTATCGTCCCCGCATACTAATAATTTAGAACAAGAAACATCTTACAAACAAAGACCCATCTGAAAAATAAAGGTAGACTGCGCATTATAATGCTATTTCACAGAGAATTTGCTTTTTCACGAATCGTTTATATGCTTTGATATTGTTGTTAGGAGGTTTGATTCGATATTATTTTGCAAGTGAGCAGAAAAAAACGAGAGTACAATACTCGCCTTTTATTAAAATCAATTCTGTTCCAAACATTCCGAACGTGGCAAGGCTAAACAACAGCATTACCAACTTCAGCAATAAAAAATTTTAAATGATGAAGAAATAGTTGCATTAAATCAAAATGAAGAATATGCTGATATTAATTGAGATGAATCTGACGTCAAAGAGTATGAAAGCGAACCCGTTTATCCAAGAGCCGCAAGAAACTGCAACAGACTGATGTAAACTATAGTCAAACGCAATAATAATGCAGTTCTACAATGATATTGCTTCTAAAAAGGATGAGTTATTTCACTATGAAGAGTAGGTAATATTTAATGGTTCAAAGCAAAATTTTAAAGTAATCTTAGAAAATAAATATTTTATTGAACGAAATGCAATTATGTGATTTTTTAACAGAAAGATGTTTTTAAATACTTTTTTAATTTTTTATGGTACAAATTAAAATATGTGCGTTATAAAGACATACTGTCATTTCAAATAAACTTAATACTAATTTACTAACAATTATAAGAAATCAATTATTTTGTGCACAAAGCACATTCCAAAATATAGCAATAATACCTATTCTTGAATTAAAAACAAATTTTAAGCTTAAAAATAGTCAAAAATTGGGTCTATTCATCCATGTTTAGATCTCAAAACTATTTAATTAAACAAACCACGCTTATCCATTAATTAGCAAAATCGATGCACATATACTTTCTTGTACGAAGTTTACAGATTTTGTTTGATATATTATAATGTTGTCACTTTATGAAAATATTGAAGCATTTTTTATTGTAAAATGCTTTTACTGCTTTCGTATTATTATATTATTGTTTTTATTTAACTATTATTACTTGTATCTTATTCCACTATAGTTTTGTATTTAGTACAAATTTTGAATTTTAAGTTGGATTTAATGTACGTATTTGATTATGGTAATTAGGGGTATCTGCCTAACGAAAGAATGCCTTATGGAAAACTGGTTCGTATCCACATTAGAGAAGGGGAAAACTACAAAAACGACTATGTAGCCAGCCCATTCATCTGGGAATCGAATTCAGACTGAACTACCATTGTGCAGCAACTTTACCGCTCGGCTGCTCATAGGAATTTTAAATTTTTATATAATAATTTTATATTTATGTGCTTAATTGGCTACTGTTTTGTGATATTTGTAATCCTTTCATGTAATAGTATACCAGCGGTTCTCAACCTTTTGACTAACGCGTACCATCTAAACAAAAAATGAAAATCTTTAGTACCACCTCTACAAAGTACTACTACCACCACCACTCTTGAACAAAGCTCCGTTCTCATAAATTTACGAGTGTTAGCGAAAAAATCAGGATGTTGGAGTTTTAATTTTTGAATTTAACAGTTAAAAAATACTTTGCATTTTTGCGTACCACCGGTTAAGAACCCCTGGTGTAAACATTTAGTCGCCCAGACGGTATAGTGGTTAATGACCCTGATTGCCATAACACAGTGCTCGGTTTCGAATCCCGGATAAACCATGGGTGTTTGAAAGCGAGTCTGCGCGATAAGAAGCCACTCAAAATACACTGCCCTCCAAACGTTAAGAAACAACATGTTTTTCAAAGCTCACACTACAAAAATGTATGTATTGTTTCAATTCACAGTTCAAATGCAGGAGAGTAACGAAGTTTTAAGAAAATATATGCAAAAAACAATAGCTAACACTTTTACTTTATAGAAATGAATACTTATATACGAGTTGGAGCAACAATTGTAATTTTTGTTCACTAGTGATGATCTTCAGTTGTTATTACAGTTTCGTGAACAATATCCAGGAGAGGGTATCAATGTCCAGAAGTCCTTTGCCCGATTCATTCAGGTGGCGGGCGATCGGATGGATGGAAATTGGGATGTCGCAAGCTAACGCTGCTAGATATCTCAATGTCTGTCGTAGTGTGGTCCACCGAATATGAAATCTGTTTGAATCCGAGGAGTCTGTGTCTAGAAGACATGCTCCAGGCAGACCTAGAGTTTCAACACCTGCGGGAGCCTATTATTAGCTCTTTCGGCCCGAAGAAGGAGTACCATTACTATACATCAGCTCATGGCAGATTATATAATGTGGCAACAGGAACAATAATCTCAGCTAATAGAGTGCGCAGACGCTTGCATTATACAGATCTGTATGCAAGAAAGACAAGTTCTTTGTGTCTTCTTGACCCGAGAACACAGAGGGGCTCGTTTATGCTAGGCAAGAGAACACGTCTCCTGGACCAGTCAGCGACAGGCGTTTGTTCTCTTCACAGACGAGTCCAGGTTCACAATGGAGAGTAATTCAGATCGTCAGCTGATCTGGAGGGAACAACGCAACAGATACAACCAATCCCACATTGTGGAAAGACACAGTTACAGAGGGGCTGGAATAATACGAGTTTGGGCTCGTAGTTTGGGCTGGGATTTATCTCGGTGGTCACGCTGGCCTGCATGTGTTCCATGGAAGAACTTGACCAGTGTGAGATATCGAGACGAGATCAATATGTCCGCCCATGTGCCGCTGCTATTGGTCCGGATTTCTTCTGATGGATGACAGTGCGCGACTTCAATGAGCTCGGGTTCCTGAAGAATATCTGAGGATCACGGTATGCAGCAGATGGAACGGGCAGCTCAGTCGAGAGACCTGAATCCGATAGAGCATCTTTGGGACTACCTTGGGAGACAGGTTACTGCTTTAAGTTTTCCTCCAAGCTCGTTAGATTACTCCATGTCTGGTCGTTAGTTCCCATTTCACTAACCGACAACTTAACTGACAGCATGGAACGTTGCTGCCGCCACTGCACTGCAGCTAGGGCTGGACACATTTCTTATTAAAACCTATTTTTGCAATGTTACCATTCCATATGTCCTCAAAAAAACTGTGATATACTGTTTTTACAAGACTGGATTTCTCTGCTAAGAGTGCAATTTTTTGTTACAGTTCATGTTTGTGTTGAACTTTAGAAACATTCTATGGCTCAATCATTAATGAACTGTTTAGTGAACATTTCTGTAAATTTCTTATTTCTGTGTTGCTTCATTTTTTATTAGACACAAAAAACATGCTGTCGCTTAACTTTTGGAAGGCAGCGTACATGGCAAGGCAAAATCCTCTCGAGTGGTTATGGTAAAGAAAGAGGGGTGGGAGATCCTCGAACTGCCTTCCTTAGAAATTTCATCTGGAGTGGAACCCTAGCAATACCTAATATGCCTAGACGGATGCCGACCTTGCTTCAACTAGTGTCTGTATAAATACACATTAGAACTGAATAAACTAGTCGAACTGTATCAGTAATACGGCCTGTTGAATCAATCTCACATTAGTAACGACTTTTGCTACAGTTATGCTGATAGGATAAGAAATTGCCAAATATTGCTGAGGTCGTCCTCAGCAATATTTTACGGAGACATTTTGGTAACTTCCAGAAAAAGTGTTTTTAAGAAGCTTGCGTTTATTTTTTCCAGAATATTTTACTATTCCTCTTCCCTATGCCCTCTTTTAGCGTATAAATATAGTCGCCATCATGTTGACTGCCATATCAGTGAGCCCATGATAGAATTACCGAGGAGCAAAGGCATGAGTATTTAAAATCCATCAAATTGAAATTCCTTTGAGAGATGGTAGCACAGAAAAAGGGGGTCGGAGACCCTTGAATTATTTACCCCCGGCTGTTCTCGATCAAAATTGAGATACTGTTAATTGTTATACTGTTTTCTATAAGGAGTGAACAAAATATGCTCTCTAGAGGGCATTCTAGATAGCCTGTTCGGCAGCAAGTAATTTTCGACGCTTGATTTTTAAAGAGGATATTGGTAAGAAGAGATACATCGCGATCAACGAGAAA